TTAAACAAACTTTTTGTTACTACATTAAAATTCATTAAAAAAAATAAAAATAAAATAAAACTACATCACAAAAGTGGCATTCACTGCCATGTAGAATAGAAACATTAAAAAATAAAGAAAAATGACCCACACAAGAGGTTTACAAGAGATTTTGGTTTGCAAACCTCACGTGCAAACATAAACCTCAAACCCCTCCAATTTAGTAGTAAAGGTTGGGGAGTGGGTTTATAAACCTGGGAAAAACTCCCCACTAAAGATGCTTTTATAAGCCTAAGAAAAATGTATAGAGTGTATAAGAACAACTTTAATGCAAAAGGTTTATAAATCTTACTTTTTACATTCCCAATACTCCACATCATCTAAACCTTATTCTTACTCTTCATATCACAAACCTCCAATAACCATAAACCTCACAAACCTTTATTTAGTGGGTTCCACATGTTTCCTACTTACTTTAATTTATATATCAATTTAATTCATATTTACTAAAAATATTACTCATACTTTTTTACAATACCATATTTATTATATATCATAATAAATATATTTTACGCACAATTAAAACTAAAAAAATAAATAATAATAAGTGAAATTTATTACACATAAACCTTACAATAATATAAAATATAAAAAGTTACATAGCGATAAAATTTAAAAAATCAATAATAAAAAAAATTATTATATATAAATCGTACAATAATATAAAATATATAAAATTACATGGCGATAAAAATTAAAATTTTCATACATGATCGATTTATTATTCTTAATAATCAGGTTCATTCCATATATGTTCAACTAGGTCATGCCTAAGTTGATGATGAACATGCCTGTCTTGCACTTCGGCTCGTATTTGCAAGTAACGACGAAAATTTGTTGGATGACCTTGATGTGTTTGGATAGGCGGTTCACCATCTTCATTGGACCAATTGGTTGCCTCCTAACCCTCGTCTTCAATTATCATATTGTGTAGAATAATACATGACAACATTATTTCACTGAGATCTTCTTTGTACCAAAAACGAGCAGGACCGCGTACAATTGCCCATCTTGACTGGAGCACTCCGAAAGCACGTTCAACATCTTTTCTTGCAGCTTCTTGTCGTTGCTTAAACTTTTTCCTCTTTGGATCCTCTGGACACTGAAAGCTTTTTACAAATGTTGCCCATTCCGGATAAATACCATCTGTTAAGTAGTAACCTTTTTTATAATTAGTCCCATTTACTGTAAAATTTACCTCTGGTGCTACCCCATGTAAAACATCGTTGAATAGTGGATACTCGTGTCACACATTAATATCATTTCGTGATCCAGCGAGTCCAAAAAAGGCATGCCAGATCCACAAGTCTTGTGAGGCTACAGCTTCAAGCATTATTGTGGGTACTCCATGATCCCCTCGAGTGTATGAACCCTGCCAACCCACTGGACAATTTTTCCATTCCCAGTGCATGCAATCAAGACTCCCTAGCATACCTGGAAATCCATGTTTTCCCTCATGTAATACAAGTAGCCGTTGAATGTCAGCATCATTGGGTGAACGCAAGTATTGGGATGAAAATATTTGTCGCACACATCGACAAAACTCGATGAGACTTCTATTTGCCGTCTGTTCTGACATGCGTAAGTACTCATCACACTGATCGGCGGGTGCTCCATATGCTAGTTGGCGTATAGCAGCGGTACACTTTTGAATAGGTGTAAAACCTTTTTTACCAATTGCATCTTCTCTGCTCTTGAAGTAATCAGAATGATTTTCAATAGAATCAACAATACGAGAAAATAAACGCCTAGACATACGAAATCTACGGCGAAAGAAACCCTCATGATAGGTGGGCTCGTTAGAAAAATAATCTCTTACAAGTAGAGTGTGTCCAGCATCACAATCCCGGTGCACTACTCGCCTTTCTCGCCTTATTGAATTTTCAGCTTGTTCGTCCTCTTGGAACTCATTAATCGCTGCCTCCATCAAGGCAAATTCAGCTTTTGCGAGACAATCATCAAGCATATTTTTCAAGAACGCAGCTACTCTCTCATTTGTACGTCTAGACATCTTATGGAAATAATAAAGAGAAAAAAAAGGGGACTTGAGGAAAAGAAGAGTAAAGCAATAAGCAAAAAATTATATTGTTTGTTGAAGGTGGTGTCTAAATGAATCCACAAATGGTCCATTTTATAAGGAGAAGATGAGTTTTTTTTTTTTTTT